ATTCAGATGTTAGCCCTGTGATTGCAACCAAAGAAGGGAGACGAATGTCACAAGTGCTAGGAGAAATACCATCATCTTCTGGGGTATGCATTGATTGTTCTTAGCGTTTATAGCAAACATATTTGAAGGAATCAGAAATATCCGAAGTCATGCTGTCGAGAAATGGAGGTGGGTTTATGTGGGGATGCTTATAATTTTAGCTTCAACTGCTGTAGCATTGGAAATATATAGATGTATCAAGTCCAGAAAATCAAAAGCAGACAAATGTAGGTCTCCTTTTTATGTTGTCTTTTTCAATTGCGGTCTGATTAAAAACTGAGAAGACTCTAAAACAGCGAAAGTGGAAAACCAGAAAGGGGTGTTTATCAGTCTTGCAGAAGGAGTGAAGTTTGTGTATGGTGGAAATGCTTCAGAGCTTCAGCTTTGGAAATATACTTTGGGATATCAATCGAATGAACAGAAAATCTGAGGCAAAACTTTAGATGAGGTCACCACAATAGTAGGAATCTGAACTCAAGGTCAACTACTTATGCTTTCAATAATAACGTTTTAAAGTATTTATATGTACATTTTTTTTTATTTGAGGTGATTAGTATTGAATTTGGTTATGAAAATTAATAATTTAATGTTCTAAAAAATCACTCGATTGTTGATTATATTAGATCCAGAAATAATCCTTTGATTAATTTGTACATTTATTCGATGATCTAAAGAGTGGTAATAGGTGTGACTAAACTAAAATTCAAAGAAGAAAATTACAAGTTAATTAGATTTTTCTCTTCAAATTAACTAATAGTACCTTATAAAATTTTATAAAATCTAAAGAAAAAATCCCAAAACAAGTCTTATTAAGAGAAATCAACATGAAATGAAAATTTAAACTCAAAAGGCTAACTGTTGCTGTTTTTAGAATAAATTAATTGTTTCGCAAAAAAGGAATAAATTAATTACTACAATATGCTTCTTGGATCTTTCATTTGAATGACATGTTTATACTAGTTATCTATATATATGAAATATTGGTTATTGAGGTGAACTATTGATTATTTGTGTGAGGTGTTGTGTTTTCCATTAATATATTATATTTTGTTTAGTTCTTTGGGCAACTGGTTTTTTTTTTTTTTTTCGCATACTATCAATATTCTCATGCTCCTCTGGGCATAACTCTGTTTTAATTGAAGTGTAAGTATAGATAAAAAATTTTTTATTAAATAAATAATCTGCAACTTAATGTATTTTTTATTACTCATATCTATTTTAGATAATATTAGATGTAACATACTAAATTGAGTGCTATGTAAAGAGTATTAAGAGTTCAATTGAGTGAAAAGGTTTTAAAGTTTAATTTATGAAAATATAAGATTATATAAATGATAGAGGCTTAGGTTTTTTTTTTTAATTTTTGTTTAAAAGGCTTTTTTGTACTTCTATTTTGAAATTTCAAATCTACCTGTAAAATGCCATACTCTTAAATTTGCTTACCTAAATAAAACATCACACACATAAATTCCTTCAAACCCATAACCTCTAATTGTCAATTTCAATATCATACTAACTAATTTAAAAGTCGACTAATGGCTTTTATTGTACTTACACAAAAAATAAATTAAAAAAATGCAAATATTGAATGATTTATATACTTTTAATAATTTATTAAATCAATTATTTTATCCTTAAATAATATTTTTTTATTAAATTGAAATTTTTAATAATTTATTTTATTTTCTTGTTAACATTGAAGACCATATTAAACTTTTCTTAAGTGATAATTTTCTTGTTGAATTAAGTATTAACTAATTTTAATTTATCTATTTATGTATTAATCTTGAATTTTTTATTAAAGTAAATTATTCTTGATAAAATTTAAATTTACTACTCCATGGTATTGTTAAGGAAGCACAACTAGCTACATAGATTAATTATTGAAACTTTCATCGTTTTTTTGGTCAAAAGACCAATTAATTAATGATAAATGACCTAAAGATTAATTGCTACATGTGAGTGAACCCACATTCTTTTCCCCTAAGTAATAATAAACCCAAATTATTATTTATGTGTATTAATGTTTTAAATACTATCCTTAATTCGTTAATTTTGTAATATAAATTTTTAACTTTGACAATTCAATGAGAATCAAGTTGTCAATAATATTAAGAATGTCAATCCCACCATCACTTTTTGCTTTTGTTTCTCATATTTTCCTTTTAAGTTCAAATGTTTCCATTAAAGAATGTTAGCCTTGAATTGATCCTTATTTTGAAATGACAAAACATTAAACTAAATAAACTTGATCAAGATTTTGAAAAAGGATTTACTTAGTACATGTTCTTAAGTATTATATTTTGGTACTAAATAAATAATATGATTTTCAAAGCTTAAACAAACCTTTCTTTGTTTTCATATTTCTCAAACTAAATCTATCTTTAAAGATTATTTATTTGAGCTTAAATGAAAGTCCAATTGTTGTTTTTAAAGTGAACTTATTTATTTTAGACTTAATACAATTTTGATAATATTGATTTTGAGAAATAAATTAACTTAAGAAAGTTGTTTTACAAGAATAAAGTTTTCCAACATCGAACTTGTTTTATTTTTTTGTATTAATTCACAAAGTCTTAATATTTGAATTTTATATAGTTGGAAAGCTCTTTGAGTCTACTTTCTAATGGATTAAACAAAATCAAAATCTAAATTTCTAAAAATATTTTTTGAATTTTTACTAAATACTCTGCAGTTGTCAGAAAAACTACACAAGGCATAACTTTAAAAATTCACTATAATTCATACACAGTGAATTAGGTGATGAAGTTTATATAGATAGAAAGCCGTTTAAGTTTAGTTTCTAAATCTTTGAACAGTTTGTGATTTGGATTTGTATAACTCAAGTTATGATTAAATTAGTAAGTAGAGTGCAAAATACGAAACTACCACCAGTCACTGACATAATCGATCTCCTCATGGAAGGGATAGATCGGGTTGTGATTTTCAAGTGAAAAATGGTTCAAAACATGAATCAATCGATCCTCTCAAGCAAGGGATCGATCAGTTATGGGCAAAAACACTCCAACAGCTATTTTTTGGTGCTTTCAACGGTTATTTTCTTCTCCCAAACACTTCCAACGGCTACCTCTTCAATTTCTCTATAAATTGGGCACTCCAACACACCAAGAAGATTGATGAATCAAGAGAGCAAGAGCCAATAAGCCACATTTTTATTCTCTCAAAAAATCAAGAATTTTTAGAGCTTCAACGTCCTTATCTTTGTACTTATTGTATCCAATTTTTGTTTGTTGTTCATTCATCATTTTCTTGTACTTAAACTTAGCAATCACTTAGCCTTAGAGAGGTTGTTCTATTGTTTGCAAAATTATCTTTGATATATAAGGGTGGAAGAGAACAAGAGGTGAGGTATTCTCTTGAAAGCTTTGTAGTGAGCATGGATAAAATACTACAAAGGAGAGTAGCGTCTATCTTATAGTCTTTAAGAAAGAATAAGAATAGGTTTGTATTTTTAATTCAAGAATAGTGGATGAAGCCTTGGTGTGGACAACCAAGCAAGATAGGACATAAGTGTCTTATAGAGAAGAAACCGATCCTTTATAATCATTGTGTTTTGATTTCTCTTCTATCTCCTTACATTTTATTGTTGTTTATATTTGATTTTAAGATTCATTAATTGTTATGTTTGGCGAATTACATTTTCAATCAAAAGTGCTTATTGTTTTAATTTTCATTCACTATCATTAAATAATTTGTTTTGGAAGACTTTGAAAAAATCCAATTCACCCCCTTTTTGGATCACCATCTAACTTATAAAACTAACTAATTTAAAATTACATATTAGTAATTTTTACTCTAATCAAATCAAGTTATTAAAAGAATTTCTTAATATTAACTTTATACCTACTCCACCTATTTCATTTCAAATCAAATGATCCTATTTTAGATAACCTAAAATACTCCACCTAATACTCGTGACACCAAACTCAATTAGAAATTTTATAAGGATTAATGTTATGAATGTATCTGAACTATAGTGAAATATTTGATATGGTATTTGAATTTTAAAAATATTTAATATGATATTCGAATTATAAATTTATCAATTAATGTGATATTCACCCTTAATATGACTAATTTCAAATGATCATACAAAGTATACAAAAAACTATCCAAATATCATATTAGTTAATAAATTTATAGTTTAAATATCATATCACAGATTTTTAATATTCAAATATCACATTTAATATTTTATTATAATTCAGGGATAATTTTGTAATATTAACTCACTTTATATAATAGAGTTGCGAAATATAAATATTATTATCATCTAATTTTAGGCAGCTTAATTAATATATATTAAAAGAATCTAATATAAATTTGAAACTATGGTGCAAAATCCTACACCTCTCACTGGGGATGTAATAAATTAATTCGTCTTTTATCTAAAAAAATCCATTCGCCTTTTGCGTAGGACTGCACTCCAGTGAAATTATAATTAAAAGCTTAATAGGAAAAAAATTTAACGTGCCAACACACAGAAACAGAAGCACTACTCACAACTTGTAAAGGTAGACGGAAGTCAATCAAATCACTTGGCAAACTTATGAAATATATGTGATATGGGAAAAGAAAATTAAATCTTTAATAGATTAGGTGTGTTGGGAAATTTGATTTTCAGTTTTCTCTTGCCCATTTCCCACAATGAAACTCTTTAAATATGTGAATTTTTTCGATAATTAAAGTTGCGAGGATTTAATTTCTTATCATTAAAATTAAAAATTCAGTTCTAACACTATGTCAAAAGGTTGCCCAATCTATCTATATATATGTGAGCAGCTAAACAAGGTACAGCTGCATGCTAATAAAGCTAGCAAGCCAAATATGCAGAGTGACATGAGTGATGACGACAAAGCTATGATTTCATTCAATATAAAAGGCCGCTAGTTGTTCATGTTCTTCATCACGAAAACAATCTAAAGATATTTCTAATTGCAATGTCTAAAGCTTATTTGCTTCTGTTGTTCCTTGGAGTGATGGTTCTTCTCACCACTCCATTCCCATCCCTTGCTTTTAATGGTCCTCCCAAGGAAGACGACCCATTTCCAGAGCGCAAACCACCAATTACCCCTAAGAACGAGGAGCCACCAAAACAACCAGGTGATTGTCAAGCGTGCCCGTGTGCTCATGCGGGCAGTGACAATAAGCCAGTAGCCCAACCTCACCTTTTGGGACATGGTGTTGAGGACTCCGACGATCCACCGAGCAAACCATTTGGCAAAGGCAAACCACCAAAGGGTAAGGGAAAGAAGCCGCCACTTGTTCATCACTCTGGACACCTTCTGTCAGAGGAAGTATACTTCCAACCACCACGCAAGTTAAATCAAGCAATGCTTCCTAACCGGCCCCCAGTGCCTCCATACCAGCCCCCTAATGAGCCTCCACATAGGCCTCCCCATGAACCCCCACACCAGCCCCCTAATGAGCCTCCACATGAGCCCCCCCATGAACCCCCCTCCAGCCCCCTAATGAGCCTCCACATGAGCCCCCCATGAACCCCCCCTCCAGCCCCCTAATGAGCCCCCCCATGAACCCCCGCACCAGCCCCTAATGAGCCTCCACAAGGGCTCCCAATGAACCCCATACAGCCCCCGAATGAACCACCCAATCAGCCACCGCGTGAACCACCTTATGGACCCCCACAAGGACCACCCCACAAGACCCCAAAAGCCAACTAGGCGTTACCAGCTTGTTTGTGTTTAGTATGGGAGAGTATCCCTAAAAATAAGAGCTACTATGTTTACGTAGTTCACTCCTTAGCTTTTAGTGCATGTCTTTGTTTACGTAGTTCACTCCTTAGCTTTTAGTGCATGTCTTAGCTAACTTCGTACTTAGAAAATAAGCATGGACATGACAGTTTGAAAACAAACGACTTCAATAGGCCAACGCAGATGTGTGTACATATATATGTTTTCACTTTTGTATAATACTATATGGACTTTCTTTCTCTAGTAATTTTCTGCTTTTTTTTCGATAATTGAAATCTTTTATTCATCTTTGAGTTAATTTTACAGGTATAAAGTACTTTGTGTTTTTTCTATGTAGAATCACTTTAATTTTGATTAATTAATAACCAGAAAGCTTTTCTAAATATTTACTGATTTTCTAAATAACAAGCATTCACTTGTATAACTTTTACAATTCTGTCACTCTCAACATACCAAGTTTCAACCTCATTTAATTAAGAGTGTTATTCAAGCAATATGGACAGTGAAAACACCCAATAAAGACAGTAATTATAAGAAGCAAAGATATACTCATACTATGTATATCTTTTTATTCAAGGCTAAACTAACAAAAATGCCCTTCAACTATTTCACTATTCTTAAACAAGCCTCTATATTTTTATTATATTCAAATAAGTTTTTATTCTTTTATTTATATTTTAATAAGCTCTTATCTTAAAGGTAAGATTAATTTATATTAATGGATTATTTCAGTGTAAATTAAAGGTTAAAAAATTATTTGGATACAAATTAAAATTTAAATCTTTATTTGAATGTAAAAAATAATTAAAAATTTATTTAAATGCAATAAAAATATAAGTATTTATTTAAATGTAACATTCATGTACTTTTTTATTAGTTTAGTCTTTATCCAACTCAAAGTACATAGAAACTTAAAATTAACAATGGGCTGCACTTCAGTTCTAAGAGTTGGATTAGGCCCACAAAAAGTTGAACTTCACATGCATGTTAAATAAACTGATACCCTTTATATGAGTAAAATATTAGCTGGTGTCGTTTTCAGATTTTTACCTAGTGATTAAAAATGTTTTAAAATATATCTAAGCTGAGAATTCAAATCCACCATTCTCATTTCTTATGTAGAAAAAAAATGAATTAAATTTAACTTTTTAAATACTATTTTAATCATCTTTAACCAATCTCTATAGGCGGCCATTAACCACATCCTTAATTTATATATCAACGTTGAGTTTTTTAACTTGAAAAACGAGTCTATAATTGGAATTTTAATGTAAAAATTTTATTAAATTGGGCTTGGGTCGAGCGGGGCCTTTGAGTTCGGCCTAGCAAGTCTACGGACACCTAAAGGCAGCCTCCGAATTGGTCACTATTGGGTAACTAACCACTTTTGTCAATGTTCAAGATCAGAAATAATTAATTAAACATGTACAAATCTAGTAAGGAAAGCCATTTACAGTGTATCTTCTTGAATATTTGGTTGAATGGATGCCAAATTGAAACTATAATATATTTATGGAGTTGTTGAACAAACCTATTAAGGTAAAATTGGCAATAAAAAAAAAGGTTAAGCTATATTTATAGGACTAAACAAAATCCTAGGGTGGTAAATTCTTTTTTTTTTTCTTTTTTTTGATAAATGATATTAGTAATCAAAGTTAAAAACGCTTACCAAAACTAAATTGTTATGAGATAAAATCTTAATTTTGACAATGGATTTATAGAGCATATTCATCTTGGATATGAGTTGCATAATAATAATGGAAGATGATTACCACAATAGCACGGAGGAAAAAGACTACCAAAGAAAATAATTAATCTCATAAGTTGTTTTCTTTATGTTATCATAAAGAAAATTAAAAAGTAATAAAAAAGCACACGAACATTTTGCTCAATAATTAGAACAGATATTCTATCATTTCAGTAGTGAGTTTGATTTTTTTTTCAAAAATTTTTAAAAAACCTTTATTTGTAGTATGAAAAGCTCCCATATAATTCTTCATTTTCATGTCCGGAGAATAAAATCTTATGTTAGAATATCCAGGAAACCTACAAGCAATCCAGCATTCGACCTTATGTCTTCTCATCCATTGAAAAATAAGGAAAAATCCATCGAGAAGATAGCTACAAATGGGGTGCACCGACAAATCAAATCTATTTTTCTTTATTTAAACATTAAGAAAAGGAGAAAAAAAAAATTATTTTCAGGACAGGAAACCTCTAGGTTCTGAAACATGTCTAACTCCAATGTATTCACTGCTGTTGAAGCCGGCTAAATTTTGGCCTCATATTTTAAGGATAAAGGGCAAAAACATGATGATAAAGTCTTTAATTTAAAAGCGGTGGAGTGGGGGCCCCGAATATCAAAAGAAAAAAAGTAAGGATGTCAGTAATCCAGGATCCCGATGAAAGAGAAGTCGTATCACGTGAAGAAAGTATAGGGAAGAGAGATCATGAGTAGTTTATAAGTTCTTTTCTATGGAAAAGTCTTACAACTATTTTTTTTCTTTTTTGAAATCGAGCAAATATCATTAACCTAGAACTGTAGAAACTTTGTTTTTCAATGCACATTTTCCACCGTCTAAAATGTCAGAACTTCTACAAATCGTTTACCGGGAAACGTTAATGGGACAATTTGGATCCACACTTCAGCTTCAAATGCATGCTGTAGCCCTTTTGACTCTGGAACTGAGAGTACTTCAAGTTCACACCTCTCATATTGACAAATTTGTACCCACAATTCATTTCAACAAGTAACCAAAAGCTATTGTCCAAATATATCTGATAACATTATGCTTTTTTGGTTGGGGGTGGGTTCACTCGCATTTTTGGATTGAAGTGCTAGGCACTCAGTCACACGATTCCACTTTACATTGGTGCTATGACAGACAAGTAGTCGTCAAAGTCACAATCTATATGGGCAATCAAGAACCGGAGTTCGAAATGTCAAATTTTACGATATGGAAAAGAAATACAGAGAATGACAAGATATTCATTCCGTTATCAATGAAACGACTAATGTTGATTCATATTGAAAAAGTCGAAGAAAATAAATGGTACAGGAAAAAGTTCTTCATTAGTTACCTTGATTGCAACATCAGCCTTTTGTTTTGTTCGGCCTAAATCTTGCGTTTGCTACAGTCCAAGAGCCTGTTTGACATTTGCCACGACGGCAGATGCTTTGACAAAATGCTCGCTCTAAAGATAAAAGTAATCGTGATTATGGGCTTTAACCAGGAACTGTCCAAATGTCTGAATTTTCAGCTCTCTAGGAAACTAAAATGGGCTTTGGTTTGTAATCTTTGTGTGAAAATCAAACCGACTAAATATGGAATTTGAAACAATATGTACGCCAGCTTTTTAGGGTGGGAAAGGATTATAAGATAATTTTTATCGTATCGATTTTAGTAACATGATTATTAAATTTAAAAAATTAAGAATTATCACTATTTTTTAATTTAAAAATTAAGAATTATAAAATAATTTTTTTTATTGAGATATGATTGATTATCAAAGTTAAAACTACCTTTTTTTTTAAAAAATCATAAGTTTAATTAATCAATAAGTAATTTTTCATTAAACAATCATTTTTTAATCAAATAAATATTTAAAATAACAAAAATTATTTTTTAACAATTATTTTTAGTGACAACAAATGGAGCCTAAATATATATTGATTTTCTAAATAACAAGCATTCACTTAATGTTTACGTATACAATTCTGTCACTTAATGTTTACTTGTACAATTCTGTCACTCTCAACACATCAAGTTTCAACCTCATATAATCATATATAATATTATATTACAACATATATAAAAACTTGATAAAATCTATCATATATATGTTTATATGGACAATTTCTTTGAATAACACATAAGATAATAATAATAATAATAATTAAATATTATCATCTTTTTTATTTTTTAAAATTTTAAATGAATTTCTTAATAATCTACACAATATCTTTTTAAATTTAAAAATCTTAGTAATAGATGATACTTTAAAATAAATTTCTTAATAATCTAAATGTATATATATATATATATATCTATCCTTTTGAATCTAAAAATCCCAAATTTAGTAATATATATTTAGATTATTTACAGATTTATTTAATTACATATATTCACCCAAATTACAAAATTTCTAATAAAATAAAAACAAGAAACATTAAGAGAATACAAAAATCAAAACTTTGAAACACCCAAGTAATTCTTTTTAAAGAGAAGAATAAATCTCAAATATAAAATATTATTTTTAAAGTGGATCAATTAATAATCTAGATTTATATATCCTTTTAAATATAAAAAACTAAAATGTACTCATATATTACTTTTAAAATGGATTTCTTGATTACTTCAAAAAAATGGATTTTTTGATAATTTAAATATATATCTTTTAAATATATTTCCCTACTTGTTTTTTTCTCTACCTTTATGTACGCTTCTTCATAATTTACGAAGTATAAAGTTACAATTTACAAAACATTTATTTTTATCTTTTATAAGTGTTGATGACATGTTTCTTATCTTGAAAAGCATATCATTTACAACTATTATAATACAATTAACGAATCACAATTTAGCATTACATGGGACTTATCAAAAATTATATAGAATCCACATTTTTAACTGATAGATTCTTATATAATTTTTAATTATGATTGATTAATTATAGTATTATAAGAAAGAGAATTGTAGGTGATATCGATCATCTTATCTTTAACTTATAAATATCTACGTTAAATTTGCTTTTTCGTTTAATATTTGAAGTCAAAATCAACAGTA